TTCGACGAATTTCGACGTATTTTTATACCCTTGCAGGGTATTATAATTTCAGTCAGAAGTTTGCAACGCAGTGAAGGAGACGTTTCCGACCCTATAAAGTATATATATTCTTGATCAGCATCAACAGCCGAGTCGATCTAGCCATGTCCGTCTGTCCGTCTGTCCGTCTGTCCGTCTGTCTGTCTGTCTGTCTGTCTGTCTGTCCGTCTGTCTGTTTCTACGCAAACTAGTCCCTCAGTTTTAAAGCTATCTGAATGAAACTTTGCATATAGTCTTCTATATGCTCTCACTGCTATATATGTCGGAACGGGCCGGATCGGACGACTATATCATATAGCTGCCATACAAATGTTCGATAAATTTTTAGAAAAAAAAATATAACTTGGCTGTTTTTCAACATATGTGCACTGTTTTTGACATATGACCATTTTATATTATTTCTGAATTTTGGTAAAAATTTTATGAAAATCGGACGACTATATCATATAGCTGCCATAGGAACGATCAGGAAATTAATAGAAAAAAATTATAACTTCGTTGTTTTTCAAACTATTTTTTTCTACTCTGGGATATAAGCTTATTTTATTAGTTCAGAATTTTGGTATAAATTTTATGAAAATCGGACAACTATATCATATAGCTGCCATATAAACCGATCGGTAGGTGTAGGGAAAATGTAAAACTGGGAATGTAAAACTGTAACTGTCAAACTCTCAACATAATAAGTATAGGTAAAATGCAATGAAATAATATCTGCAAGGGTATACAAACTTCGGCGTGCCGAAGTTAGCTTCCTTTCTTGTTAAGTTTTAATATGTTTTTTGTTTTTACAGTGACGTTTTACGTTTCATGGAAAGGAAAAAATCCATTTAATTTACATAAATATTTAGAATTTTTGTTGTATTTTTTGTTTTCACAGTGACGTTTGACGTTTCATGACACACACAACATTTGAAGGATAAAGTTTTCATTTTTAAATTTTTTCCGATTTTTTATCAAAATTTGATACATTAATTTGTTAAATTAAAAATATAATAAAATTAGAACAACTTTCAAATAATAAATAAAAAAAAATTTTACGAAAAAAAATTAAATACTAAAGTTTCGGAAAAATACTGTTACCGACGAAAAGATTAGCGCACTGCTTCAAGTCGGTAAGGAGGTACAATTCACTGCTTGAGGTCGGTAATACCGACTTGAAGCAGTGCGCTAATATTTTCGTCGGTAATACAGTATTTTTCCGAAACTAGCTACCGGAGTACCGGTATAGCCTTTTCGCCGGCAGGACAATACGGGCTAGTTCCTCCGGCTCATTCATTAAATTCGTCTTCACCCATGTGCGGGTGTTTCCTAAGACGAAAACTTGAAAAACCACAGTGCTGTCGTTAATAGATTTGTGTGAGTTTGTATCCGGCCACTCCATTTTCTTTGAGAACAAATTGGAGCATCTATGGCGGCGAAGCTCTTTGTCGCTGTTTGCCACAACTGGGCAGAAGGGGCATGGGTGCTCCCCTTCCCCGCACATTTTGTGACGCTCCAGCTCCTGCTCACAGTTGTGGCGTCGAAATTGAAAGCACTTACCGCACTGGTGGGCTTTCAGTAAGTGCCGGTACACAAAAAAAAGATCCTCCTGCTCCGGCTCCTGCTGATCCAGCTCCGGCTGCGGCTACCGCAGATACCACTGCTCCGGTTCCTCCTGCTCCGGCTGTAGCTGCAGCATCTCCTGCTGCTTCGGTTCCTTCTTGCCCACTAGGTCCATTCTTGGTCTTTTAGAGACCAAATCGCCATTAAACTTGGTTACAATAACCTTATCTTTTCGAAGAATTAATTTTTTAAAAGACGACATCGCTTTGTAGATTTTTGGCAATTCAGTATGGTCGTAGTTCCCCACCTGTCATTTCCGTGGCATTTATTTTGGTATTTTTTACTTTTTCCACAGAATTCTTTTGATTTTTCAAAACTTAGAATCACAAATCTATATAAAAGCCTGATGAACACAGACTATGAAGAAAATCGCCTACAAAGAGCGGAAAAGAGAAGCGAGCTTGACGAAGGTTTCCTGTCAATATTTAGCAATTTACAGGAATTTGTTAAGCCATTTTTTATAATATTCGACGATCTACATTTTACAGTCGAAAATCATTATAAAGCTCTAGCAATAACCGGGACGAGCGTGGACGGCCAGTTGAGCCGTTTCTTTTCAGTACGTGTATACGGAAATGGAAAAAAATTAAGCGCGGATCAGGTCGCTATTGACCTAACAGACGTGATTCACGCTGAGAAATGTCTAAATCAAAATGTAATCAATGTACAGTGTAAGCGGGTTCTCACGTTACCAATGATCCCAGATTATCTGCATCTCATTGGAACGATATATCGTCGTTTCAATATAGTTGATACACAATTGCAAACATTTTTTGAGGATGTAAAGGTGAATCCGAATCCCAATATTAATACGTACATTGACAGAATTCCGCAAAAAGCAATAGAATTTTTTAAAAAGATTTTTGTGGATTGAAAGTGCTGGAAAATATGAAGAAGCAACAATTCATAGATTTTAGCGAGGCGAACAAGGCCAAATTGCAGAGTATTGGAATTTTATGGAGGTACTCTATAGCAATGGCTTTCAAGGAAGCCAGCATTTCTGACATTGGCGGCGTTATCCGAATAATCGGCTTACTTGTCGCGGAAAGACAGGAAAGTAAGTATTATTAAATTAATATTTTTATTATTATTTATATATACATATGACGACGAATCCATCATCGGAGTCCTCAACTAGACTCGATTTCACAACCAATCTGCTTGCGACTCAAAAACGCTGTGTCATTCCTTTTCAATTCCTTTTTACCTTCCAACACACACGCAGGTGTGGTGAGTTCTCAGAAAACAATATCCGTCAACAATACGTTGGCAAAACAGTGTATGCCTCGCACGAAAGAAGTAATAAGAAATGAAACAAGTGTGTACCCACAAAATCGTTATAATTTAAATTATCTTTTATTATTTTTTTTGCAGAGCTCCGAATTATAGGCAACTAAAAATCTTAAATATTTATAATTTCGTTTTTTTTTTTTTGTCTAAAAAAATTGATTATATTTGGTAAGTTTTTCTTTAGAATTAATTTATTATTTTTTAAAATATTAATTTGAATAATTTTTTAGTGTATTACGCGTCGATGCCAGACTTTTCATAAGCGACCAAAAGTACCAGACCGCGCGTTCATAAGGATTTCTGGACGACAAAAAAACTTTTCCGCGAGCTGTGAATTAATTACTTATTCAAACTTTTGTGTTTTTTTTATATATTTGCTATATTCAAAAGCATCGTGGCATATTGTCTAACACTTGAAATCACGATTTATTATCTCATATATAAAACGAATAGAGAGGAAAAAATCCATTTAATTTAGATAAATATTAAAAAAATATGTATATATAAAAAATTAATTTTAATGGAATTAGTTACAAAGTTAATAAAATTGTATTTCTTTTAAAAACTTTCCCAAAATTCTTATTATCCTAAGCCCCCTATTTAGAGTTACACACAATAATACCTGATAAACCAGATCGCATTTGACAGACAAATGAATACTTTGTTAATATCGTGAGAGCCAAGCGCATTTTTACTTATAATGAAATTACATAGCAAATAAAATGTCTTAGTTTTTCCGCACAGTTCTTTTTTCGGGCAATTAAACTTTGAAAATATAATAACAATAACAGCTCAAAAAAGGTCAAATCAGAAGCTGGAAGGAATACGGAGACAAAGAAAGGAACAGTGGACTCGTCAGTTAGAAATACATTTTAAAATAAAGAAATACGACACAAAAGGCAACCAGAAAAAAGTGGAACAAATTTGTGGCATTCCTTGTATCCCCCAGAAACTTTTTCTTTTCTTCACTCTCCGCGTTTCTGTTGATTTTTCTTGCTCTATAGTGGTCCGATTTTCATAAAATTAAAACCCAAAATCTAAAATAATATAAATTGGCTATATCTAAAAAAGGCGCAAAAATGTTGAAAAACAGCTAATTAATAATTTTAAGTCCAAAAGGCTCATTTCGCGAAGTGTAGTAATCGTAATCGTCATTTTTTTAAATCGTGTACGTGTAGTAGCTAGATTTGGCTATATAGCTGAGATTTTTAGCTATATAGCTAAGACGGTTTTAGCTATATAGCTAAGTTTGCATCTCCAGTTTTGATTAAGCTATTTCAAGCAGTTTCGAGCAGTTCTTGATTTTCTTATTGGATACGGCAACCTTGTTTCGCAGTTAAAAAAAAAACGATTTTTAGCCTTCAGTGGTTCGGGAACAGGTAATTTTTTACTCTTAAAATTTTACTTTCTCGAATTTCTTTGTTTTACACTCTTTTTTTTAACCGAAAAGTCTTTGTTTAGTAAAAATATTTCTTAATCTTTTGTAAAAAAGAAATAATATTGAATTATTATTTATATATGATCAAGATATCCGCTGAAACATTTTTTTTTTAACTTTTAGTTGTTTTATATGTATAAATTGCTGCGTCCAATAAAATTAAAATAATAATATGTTGCTATGAATCCAAAACCTATATTGGTAGGAGTGGCAAAGACAACAGAGGGCCACAGCGATTGGCTAACAACCAAAACCTCCATTTCATCAAATCAATGGTGGCGCGAAGAGAGATCTGCTATTGAAAGAGAGGAAATTCTCTCTGAAGTTGTACTCTTTTTGAAGAGTGTGTTAGCTAAAGTTGAGTTCTCTTTTTTTGTGGTGGATTTGTATGCAGTACCAGGCCAAGTTGATTTAAATGGATTTAAAATGTCCTGGTGCTCGGGTGCGCGTGTCGGATCTTTCATGATGATTTTAAAAAATTTGGCTAAATCTCGAATATGATGACCATATCGCCAAAAAAATGTAAACAAAGCGAAAATCTTAAGATATGGTCCTTTTATTTATCGGTTTAAAATATAAACCGCAATGAACGCGCCGTAGTTGAAAATAGTGCCATATATGTATATTCATATTAACTTTAAATTAAATTAAATAATAACTTCAGAATATTCAATAATATTTTGAAAGTTAAATTAATTAAATTTAAACACACCACATTAAGTAAAAACTTTGAACAATGAAAGTTAGTCAGTGTTAGCCCATGTGACGCCGCATAATACAACTGGAGTTTACGAAGTGCCATATAAAGTTTATGTAAATAATATATTTAATGTAATAATAATAATATTTCTATAAGTAGCACAAACAAAACTTGTGCAAGCGGCTAGTCAAGAACAAAGTATGATATAGTACATATGGTATGTGTACACCGGAGCCATCTCATATTGAAAGAAAGGAAAGGACAAGCAAAGGTTAGTGCCAATATGATAACCGTAAACTGATATCTCTTGCCACGTTTGAGATTTTCGACCTGTCTCTGATTCATAGTTGTGCCGGTTGTTGTGCCCGAGCTGATGCTGCATACAAGCATTGGTCGCGACAGGTGCACTTGCCACGCGAGTATATCTCTTTAGTGAGCTAAGGGGCTCCGGGGCTGGGAGGAGAGAATTCGGAACTGGAATTGAAATTTGCGCTGTGCGTGTGGCACAGAAAAAAAAATTTAGGTATTTGAAGACAAAAATACGATGTCTTCGTAAACAGACTATGAAACGAGATATGTATGTAGATAGTGTCGATCAACGTTCGCAATCGGACTTAGAACACCTTATGTACCCTTAAAGTCCGGCTTTACCATATTTAGAGCCATTTCTTGGAATAAATCTCATACGATTTGTTCAAGTTTTTTATAATTTTGAACCTCTTCCATCGACAATAAATGATTGCCGACGACCTTGGTCTCAATGTATGAATATAAATAAGGGACCAGATACATATATATATATATATTAATATTTTGATTTTCAATTGGTTTTCTCTGTGTACTGGGAGCCAAGACATCTCATCAGTAGCTGGAAGAAAAAGGAGTTAAAGTTGTGCTGGAGTTGGTAGATCGTGTGTATGAGATGGCTTTCAAGACTGGACTGGTTTTTTGAGCACACGCATAAGTAGTATGTTATGTGCTGTTGTGTTCAAACATGTATTGCACATATGCATCTACATATACATTCGTACATATGTACATATATGCACTTGTTTACATTATTCTGCGCAATTACAATTGCGCCTAAAATTTAAGTTTTGCTTAGTATTTTGAGTAGGATTTTCATCCTTCTGCGGGCTTGCATAAGAAATGTCATTTTCCCATCTCGCAATCTAGTTTATCTCCCGTGTCCCCTAATGATATTGCAGCATACATATATGTATGTACATATGTATGTATAAGTATGTATGAATGTGTGTCTCTTTTGCTGTTTGTCGATTGTCCACTTGGTTTGATTTTGTTTACTTCTTGTTTTTGGTGTCACTGTTGAACGCCATAAATTCTGGGGGACCGTAAGGAGCAGAACGGTGCTGCATAATAAGCTCCACACGGTTACATCAAAGAGACAATCAAAGGCTGAGAAACAATGATACACTCACAAATTTTGCTTTGTCTTCTGCAGCCCCTAGGTTTCCTCGTGCTATAAAAGATGTGCAAACGGAAGAGAAAATATACGTTATTTCTAGTCGCATAATTTTCATCAATCGGTATTTGACGCGATGTTCGATATGCATACATATATGTTGTATAAATAAATGTAATAATAGTTTAAGATATTTTTTAGATATTGATAATTATGAGTAATTATAAATGCCGTATTTTTCGATTTTAAAAATGTATATTTTTTTTTAACTTGCCGATATTTTATGCCGATATATAATATCAGAGTTTTGCTTTTGACAATGCAATATAGATGATCGCCTAATACTTAAAATTTGATAAGGGACAAGGTCTTTGGTGTGTATTTTACATGTTCCTATTTTTTATACCATTACAGGGTATTATAATTTCAGTCAAAAGTTTGCAACGCAGTTATGTAAAGTATATATATACTTGATCAGCATCAACAGCCGAGTGTATCTAGCCATGTCCGTCTGTCCGTCTGTCTGTTTCTACGCAAACTATTCCCTCAGTTTTAAAGCTATCTGAATGAAACTTTGCGTATAGTCTTCTATATACTCTCATACACTCTAATTTAATAAAAATCGGACGACTATATCTTATAGTTGCCATAGGAACGATCGGGAAATTAGTAGAAAAAAATTAGAACTTCGTTGTTTTCTATCTTCTTTTAAATATGGGAAAAATTTTCCTCAAATTGAAGGTGAATTTTTTCTTACATTTAGAAAGATTTTTCTTGAATGTAGAAAAATTGAAGGTAAGTGCAATTGTTTGTTGTTGCTGCTGCTATTATTATTGTATATTAACAAAGGCGGCCAAAATGCTAACACTTTGGTGTTGCAAAAGAGACTTGCTCTTATTAAGTGTTGGCCGGCCACCGTCACCTCATGCCAGAGACGTTTGAACCAGTTGGGAATTGTATGCGCACGCGTGCGGAATTTGCCCAAAAAATCCGCCATAGTTTTACGAAAAGTTGACCAGCAAAACAAAGAAAATTTTCCCGTAATTTAAGAAAATTTGCCCGTAATTAAAGAAAGAAAATGAACGAAGCAAATCCGAAAATTTTGCCCTAAATTTGAGGAAAATATGTAAATTAACCCTAAAAAAGTGTATTTATGGGGGGTGTTTTTTGATTTTACGGTGCCTTGCCTTAAATTCATGAAAAACTTTTCTTAATTCCAGAAAAAATTTCTTAGTTTAAGGGCGATTTTCTTTTATGGCGATTTTTCTTAAATCTAGAAAAATATTTTTATGAGTGAATGAAACTTTGTTTTCTGTGTGTTTTCAGCACTTAAAGGTAGAATATAATATATATATCGGCGTGCCGAAGTTAGCTTCCTTTCTTGTTAATTTTTAAAATTACAAAAATGATCACCCAATATCGCAGACCTGCATGAGGCACAAATTTGTGCGCCAAAATGTTAAATTTGGATATTTATTAAATTTAGGTCAAGGGTCACATAATTGCTATTCTGGTCATTTCTTGATTTTTTCTCATAGTCATACATTTTATTTAAAATGTTTTAAAACGATATCAGGAATTAATCAATCAGCTTTGAAACTATTTTTCTAAGATCTCTGATAAAAAATATGTTATTAATTAAATTTCTACCTATAATTGTGGTTAAATTTTGCAGACTGGTTTTATCAATACCAATACCAAGTCAAAACAAGAAACGAAGCTAGCTTCGGAACGCCGAAGTTTGTATGTACTTGTACTTTGCAATACGATTCATTTTTATACATCTACTGATCCCGATTATTTAAAAAATTAATAAATTTAAAAATTAAATAAATAAAATCTGGAGTTATGCAAATTGACCATATCTAAAGTATATGAAAATATGATGAAAAGCAGCGAAGTTATCATATTTGTCTATTCATTTCCCGATTGTTCCTATGTCAGCTATATGATATAGTCGTTTGATCCGGGCCATTCATTGAGATAGCTCAAAAACTGAGAGACTAGTTTGCATAGAAACGGACAGACGGACATGGTTATATCGAGAATTCGAGAAATTGCGACTTTTCGTTATTTTGGTAAAAAAGACATAATAATGGGGGAATACTTTGACTTTTCCTAAACTTGAAGGAGGTAAGCAGTGTCCTATTTCAGGTTGCTTATCTAGTTCTCTGCCTGCGCAGAGCTGCCCTTACTCGCGAAAAAGACAGAAAAATAAGGAAGAAGTAAACATAAACATCTATATAGTATATAAATATAATATAAATTAAAGTTACCTAAAAACGCTATGCATCTGCTTCCAGATTTCCCAGTAACTGTTCCGATTGCTTCATTTGCATACGATACGATTACTTCTGTAATCTTTCCTAAGACCAGTTTCGGTATTCTCTTCTTCTTTATATACTATTAGTAAGTCGACACAAAAAGAAACATTTGGGAAAGCAATACAAGTTGCACTCACAAATAATTGATCAACGTCCAGAAAATGATGCGAATAAATTAAATATGTTTTTGAAGGTATATTTCGATGTTAAATTTTCGATATATCAAAGCTTTCGAGATGGTATGTACAATGCAAAGGGAAGAATATACATATATATTGCAATTTCAGTGGATTTCAAATTACTGAGCTTCTTTTTGTACAGTTTTGAAATGTATTATTTATTTATTTATTATATTCGATTTTATTAATAATTTAATTTACAGTTTTAAACATCAGATTGGAATCCTTAGCCAAGTCTGCGTTTGCATATGTACGTCTGTCTGTCTTCGGGGGAAAATGCGAACGTGAAAACATGTTTTTGGGGTAATAGTCAAGTCCGAGCCAGTGCAAGTAGCGTCGATCCGCCGGGGACGACATAGTAAGGCGACACAGTCGACGTCGACAGTCCGACCGGAATGCAGGCATGGAAAACTAGTTGTTATTGTCGACGCTGCGATTCTGCGTTTCTTTTTTGGTGTCGATGCAAAGGCAACAGAAAAAGAAAAAACAACAGCACACTTGAATTAACAACAGGTGAATGCGAATCAAAGAAATCAATAAAAATAAAACAAGAAAGGTGAGCTAGGAGGCGGTTAGGGGAGACAAGGAAGCCTGCTGCTGCTAAGCTAAGGAAACATCTGCAATCTGCTATCTAGCCGGTTTTTTAGCTGTTTGAATTTCTTTGTCTCTTTTAAAGAAGAAAACCTTTTTTCGATCAAGCACCGGATCGCTAAGCCGAACTGGAGGTTCCGGTTTTTAATACTAAACTCTATGGACTATTACTCGGTGAACGATACAAAACCGAAAATATTATTATAGATCATCAGCATAATGTGAAAATGTTATTTAGTTATGTCCGCTTGTCCGTTGTGTCGCTTCCCCCCTACGTTATTACTTGCCTGAATAAATCAGTGTTGCCAGATGCCAATTTGGCTTTCACCCTAAAACAAATCTCAAAAAGTTCAAATTTCTTAAAAAAAAAAACCAAGTGTTTTTAAATATGTCGTAGAAACACTTCGAAAATGAATAGAAAAAAATTATTGCTTCTCCGTTTTTCGAAATATTTTCATTATCTTTAAACCTTTTAATTATTTTAGAATTTCATATAACTTCAATAATAACGATAGAGAGAACAATTTAAATATGTGAATGTAAAACTGTTTATATAAATGTAATAGGCTGTTTAATTAACATTACTTTGCTGTTGTTCAGCACATATACAAGTAATTTATATTAAATTAGATTAGATCTTTAACATAGATATTTTATCTACGATAAATTATGAATTCCATATCTGATAAAAAGATAATCAAGGTAATTAACTTTTCAGCTTTCAATGTCCTTTTCTGTACGCTTTTTTTCAAAG